AGTTTTACATTTGTTAGCTAATTTGAAGGTCCCTTGAATTTTCTCTTTCATGACATTATGGTTAAACTTACTGTTAAACATTGAATAGTTCGTTTCTTTTTTAGCAAAGCTGAAGATCAGTCCAGCACAAGTTGTGGCTGCCACTGAAAGTTTGATGTCGCTGATTGTTGAGGGATCAAAGCATAAAGTAGTAACATTTTCGCCTATGCATTTTGCGTGACGTTGTTTTTAGCTAACGTGTAAGGAATTCGCAGACTCGCTCGGGCTGTTGAATGTGCCAGAAAATTTAAAGGCACACCTGGTCAATGCGTACGACCGTGGCAGCGCAGAAGCCAGACTTTGCTTAAACCTCCTTGTTCCCGCTGCGCTGCCTCAGCTCTTGTCATTCGACTGGCGTTTCGAGGTCGAGGTGAGATGAGGCGTATTCTTAATCAGCTTCACTGAACAGTAGATAAATTGATTCAGGCCTAGGTTCACTTGTCATCGTATTAAATTCAGAATCGTGTTGGTTTTGATTTCAGAAATTGATACATTATTAGGATGCATGTTGCAGTTTCTGCTGATGAGGGTATGAGCAGTGAAACGTGTTGGCATTAAACTGTTTGCCATTTACTCTATCTGGTTTCCTGAACCATGAATCATTTACAAAATTATGTACATGAGCCACTAATATCTGCAAGGTGTAGCAGTGAGATTTGAGACTGACCTTTTTCTCAGATATATACGAATTCTACACCGTTCACACTGCTCATAGTTAAGCCGCCGCGTGGCATTAACAGGTGGGGTTTATAAGACATGTTAAGTTAAAAACGCAAAGTACCGAAAACTGCATATTTTGTGGCTGCTGTGTTTTGGTTGTCATTCTGTCAGTCAGTTTCGATGACCGCGGAGGCTGACGAATGAAAAAGTGTCTCCAGCGTTTCGGCTTCGGCCGAAGATAACCGCAGCATGGAGCGAGTCCTTCGAGACAACAGCCCCAGGTCATTCTTGGCCTTCCCCGGGGTTTTCGACTTGTCGATTGGGAAAATAGCGACAGTTTTTTCTACATTTTTGAAACCATTCGCAAGACGTCCCGAAACTTTCACAGCTGTAACTTCTTAGTCTATTTCAGCGGCGGCTCTAGGCCATGACTCTCTTAGATATCTGTACTCTGGACCATGTGAAAAGAGTGAGCCCAGAGATTACTCTCAGTAGCTCATTTCAGTTGTGTGTACCCAAGATCGAAGTTTTTCACTCATGGTCCATCACTCAAAACCATTGTGGAGCATAGGGATGAAGATCCACTTGAACACCGAGAGCTTAGTCTTCAGACTCAGCTCTGCTTTAGTCACAGTAGTTTGGATTAGTTCACGCAGAACGCCACTGGCTATTCCAGTTCGACGGTCGATTTCTTCCTCTAATTTTCCATCACCAATAAACACGATCACGACGTACTTCAACTTTTCCACCTGCTCCACTGCTTCTCCGTTGATCTGAAGAGAGTAACGGGAAGGAGAACGAGAAATCACTATGCTTTTCGTTTTAAATGCGTTCACACGTACTCCGGTCTCGTCGCATTCGGCTGCGAACCTGTCCAGGGAGCGCAGTAGATCTGTTTCAGAAGATGCCATTAAAACAAGATCGTGTTTAAACAGAAACCTTCTCGTCTCCACATCTCCTACACCGATACACTCGTAGTCTTGACTGCCCCTGACTATTCTATATAAGTACAACACAATCAGGAGAGGAGACAGAATGCAGCCGTGATGGAGACCACTGTCAACGCCGAAAGGTCTCGACATAACGCCAGTTACTGTGACGCAGCACCTGCTATCAACAGAGAACACATGGCTAGACTATCAACACAGAGTGACTGACCATCGATCCCAA